TGTCAAAAATTTCAACTCAAATAAAACCAAAAAATCTTCGAGTCTCGAAGAACCAACACCCTTTTCATATTTGAATTAGGAGGGCATGGAGCACTCATGTCCGTAACGTTCACCAAGAGGCCAATTACTGAAACGAACTTGATAACGGACATTAATCCTCACTAACCCTATTGTCATCAACACTAAAATATAATTGGAGAAACAATGCACTTTTATTTCTTCTCCCGGAGTTCATGGAAATAAGATGATTGTAATTTTTCTTTCAACCTTAGAGCATCTACAATCGAACCCCTCATACCCGCCCCAATCGCCCGGACGGGCTGTCTGGACGCAAAAGGCCACCACACCGGCCTCCCCATATCCGGCCCAAACGCACGGACCGATCGACACTTCCCATATCCTGTTGGGAAACGTTGCATGGAAAACAAAAAATTTACTATGCATACGCAAGACCTATCCATGGAGATGCATAGCAACGAGAGGAGAGAGTGTGTCTACGTACCCTCGTAGATCGTAAGCGGAAGCGTTTAGTAACGAGGTTGATGTAGTCGAACTTCTTCGCGATCCAACCGATCGAATACCGAACGTACGACACCTCCGCGTTTAGCACACGCTCATCTCGGTGACGTCCACACCTTCTTGATCCAGCAAGACGACGAGGTAGTGGATGAGTTCCGGCAGCATGACGGTGTGGTGATGGTGATGGTGATGTTATCTATGCAGGGCTTCGCCTAAGCACTATGAAAATTTGATTGAGGGTGTAAACGGTGGAGGGGGGCGCCGCACACGGCTAAGAGATTGTCGTGGTTATGTGTGGCGCCCCCTTCCCACATATATATAGGTGTGGGGGAGAGGGGAGCAGCCACGAGGAGCCCCCAAGTAGGCCGAATCCTACTTGGGGTCCTCCCGAAGCCGCGCGCCCTTCCTTATTTGAGTGCAGAAGGAAGGCAGGGGGAGGTGGCGCCCCCCCCTTTCCTTTCTCTCATGAGGAGGGAAAGGCAGGAGGGGCCACCCCTCCCCTTTCCTTACTCATAGGGCCGGCCGGCCAGGAAAGGGGCGCACCAGCCCCCTTGTGGGCTGGTCTGTCCCTCCTTGGCCGGCCCATACACTTACCGGGGGTGTCCGGAACCCCTTCCGGTGACCCGATGACTACCTGGTGTACTCCGAAACTCTTCTGGTGTCCGAATATCATCGTCCTATATATCAATTTTTACCTTCGGACCATTTTGGAGCTCCTCATCATGTTCGTGATCTCATCTAGGACTCCAAACAACATTCGGTCACCAAATCA